GACAGCCCTGGCGAGGGGGTCGTGGGGCAGGGCCTCTTTTTTCCCCCTGCCTCTGCTCATCCTGCCGCTGCTGCCATTGTTCATCTTTGGACGTTGCCTCCGCTTGGCATCTTGAGGGCCACTTCTCTCCTGGCCCTTGCTCCGGCCCGCCTCATTGCGGTTGCTCCCTTCTCCTTTCTCCTCGTCTCCCGTCCCTCATCTCCCTCGCCGTTTCCGCCCTCGCTTCCTGCTTGCCGTCTCCCTTCTGTCCCTTCCCGCCTGCCCGCCCGGCTGCTTCGTCCCTACGCCCATAGCGGAGAGTTGAGCACAATACAAACAGAGCAGCAGGTAAGGCGTACGCAGGACTGGTCTTACCGCGAAGCGGGGCCGTTCCCGCGAAGGGGGGATGCCGCCCTTTTCCGCAAGCGAGTGTCGTTATACTCCCATGCTCACCTATCTTCCCAGTATCCCTCCGCTGCCGTTTCACTTCGAGTACTGCGCAAGTGCTGCGGACTTCGAAGCACACCGCGGGCGCCTCTCAGCGACATTCACTAACGATGCCCAGGCGAGTTGTTCTGATCAGGGATCTGGAGAAGCACGCAGTGGAATAAAGGGCTTGGAAAACCGTCATACCCCGAGAGGGGGAGGATGGAGGAGTATTCGGAGGAGGAGGAGAAGGAGAGGGAGGGAAAAAGAGAGGGAAGGGGAGGGATGATGATGAGGAGGAGGAGGATGAGGATTATGATGATGAGGATGATGAAGATGAGGGTGAGGATGATGATGGTGATGATGATGAACATGAGGATGATGATTAATATGACAATGATGGTTATACACATGATGATGATGATGATGATGATGCTGATGCTGCTGATGCTGATGATGATGATGATAATGTGTCATGGTGATGACGATGACGATGACGATGACGATGATGATTGCGATGGTGATGATGATTATGATGATTCTATTGATGAAGCTGGTGATGATGACGACGATGATGATGACGATGACGATGATGATGATGACGACGTTGAAGATGCTGCTGATGATGATGACGATGATGATGACGATGACAATGACGATGCTGATGATGATGGTGGTGATGATGATGAGGATGGCGAGGATGATGATGATGCTGTTGCTGCTAATGATGATGAAGGCAATAGTTATGATGATGATGCCGACGATGATGCTGTTGATGTTGTTGATGATGATGATGGTGATGGTGATGGTGATAGTTATGATGATAGTGATTGTGTTGACGATGAGGAGGATGATGATGATGATGTTGATGCTGATGATGGTGATGGTGATGGTGATGGTGAGGACGATGATGATGAGGAGGATGATGATGAGGATGATGAGGATTATGATGAATGTGCTGATGATGTTGGTGATGATGATGATGATGATGATGATGCTGATGATGATGATGATCATGATGGTGATGATGATGATGCTGTTGATGGCATGATGATGATGCTGATGATGATGATGTCGCGGCTAATGATGGTGATGGTGCTGATGCTGATGCTGATGCTGATGATGCTGATGATGATGGTGATGATGATGGTGGTGGTGATGGTGATGGTGATGGTGATGGTGATGGTGATGTGATTACGATGGTGATGGTGATGGTGACTGTGATGGTGATGGTGATGATGATGATGATGATGAGGAGGAGGAGGAGGAGGAGGAGGAGGAGGCGGACGAGGAGCAGGAGGCGGAGGAGGAGGAGGAACAGGCGGATGAGGAAGAGAAGAAGAAAAATGAGGAGGATAAGGAGGAGGAAGAGGAGGATGAATAGAAGGAAGACGAGGTGGATGGCGAGGAGGAGGAAGACGAGGAGGATGAGGATGAGGAGGAGGAGGAGGAGGAGGAGGAGGAGGAGAAGAAGGAGGAGGGCGAGCAGACAGGCCGAATGCCTCTTGCATACCTCTTGCAGCCGCTTCGGATGTCTCGAGAACTTCCTGGATTTTTTGGGGGCGTCTACTGGGCCTCGTGGCGATCCCAGGGGCGTCTGGGAGCGTCTTCGGTGCCTTGGGGAAGCCTCTTGAGAGTCACGTGGGAGTACCTAGGGGACCTTTGGGGTGGGCTCTTGGGGCCTCCTGGGCGCCTCTTTGGGCCCTTTCGGGGCGCTCTTGGGAGCCTTGGGGACTATGTTGGGGCCATCTGTGAGGGAGTTCGATCAAAGAAAAGGGAGATCCAATTGGGGCCCCCCCCCCCCCCAGAGACCAACATGGACCCCAAATCTACGGCAACACATTGATGCGTGCCGTCCCGCCGAGGCCGTCTTGGACGCTATAGCGGCCCGCGAGGCGCCCCGTCCAGGTCCAGGGAGAGGGTCAGTGGAGGGGTCAAGCTACCCACCCGCCCGCGAGCCGTCTAGCTCACTCCCACCCGCCCTTCCAACACATAAATCACATCCGAGCCTGAGCATGTTCAGCGGTCGTCTTTGGATGGGCAGCTATTGGGAACCAAAGCCGACCCCAGGTGCGCGACGCTTGGGCGAGGTGCGCCACGCGTGCCAGGGGCGCCACGCGCGCCAGGCACCCCTGGGGCCCGAGCATGCCAGGCACGCCTGGTGCGCCAGATGCGCCACGTGCTACGAGTGCGCCAGGTGTGCCGCACACTCCAGCCGTGCCAGGTGCGCCATATTCGGGGCACGTGCAGAGTGCGTCAGGTGCACCTGCGCACGTGACAGCACACATCGGGAAACATGTCGTCCCCCGCCCTCCTTGTCGAAAGCCAATGCCCATCATTGAGTCTGGTGGGCCTGCGCACAGCAGGCCACGCGCCACCACCCCCGCGGTCTTTGTCAAAAACAACTTGACAGTGATCGCGGGATGGCCGCGCACGATCCAGATTTAGCCGCGGGGTGCATGTTGTATTGTTTTTTGTCAGGGATGGTAGCCCTGCGCACGGCAAGGAATATGCTGGCACCCCCGCCGCCCCTGTCAAAACCAATACAACGTGTTCGCGGGCCTCGCGAACATGACTCAAGACTTTGCCCCGAAGTGTACTTTGCATTGTTATTTGACAGGGATGGTGGGGGGGGCCGCGTCGGGTTGGCCGCGCATGCTCCAAATGTGGAGGCAGAGTGCGGTTTGTAGTGTTTTTGACAGGGATGGTCTGGGGCGGGTCGTCATGGTGTCCTCATGGTTCTTGGTTGGACGCCGGTCGCCTGGGGGAGGGGGTGTATATTAATAAGGAACAGTGATGCGCCCCTCCCCGGGGGGAAGGGCGCTGGAAGAGCAACATGTCAAAACCACTCACGCGATAAAGGGCTGGTGGGATTACGTTGGCTAGCATACTCCATTACATTATTGTCATATGTGGTTGTTTTGGTTCGTCCTCTCAACTAACATGGAGACTGGAGACAGTTTTGGTACCCGTAAACAATCTAAACGACTTGTTTGCTTTCGTTGTGTGCACCCTCGACCCCCTTTTGTGTCCCCTTCCTATCTCCATTTTGAATACGCCCTCATTATTCCCGTCGTCTCGTCTCCTGTAAATCATCGTTCTTGGTGTGTTTCATTCCCACTGCTTCAGCATGAGACCAGTGTTTCCACATAGCTAGAACAAAAGCGTGCGAAACGCCGGCGCGTAGTTTTAGTGTGTGTAGAAGTACATACATAGAGAGAGAGAGAGAAAAATGAGAGAGAGAGAGAGAAGGAGACAGACGACAGAGGAACAAGTACAGACGGAGGGAAGGACGTGGAAGGGAGCGTGGGCTTCTTGTGTAATCTTTGTGTCTTGGCGCAAAACGGCACAGTAAAACGTACGCTATGACTGCCTGATATTTCCAGGACCCCCCGTCTTTGAAATCATCGTTCCGCTTTCGTTTTTTGTGTGCTAGGGCGTCTACCTGCAGCCTTGGTTTACACGATGTTCAGTCTGGCAACGCCTTGCATACTTCCTTCAGTGTGCCGTTCGGCGTTGTTGTCGGCTTCAACACATCATGATTCAGATTTGGTTATTCTAGACGCTTCGCGCATCCCCACCAGCGCGTCGCGGCTTCGATCCGCCGTCAGGCTCTCCCGCTGGACTTGTGTCCCCAGTCAGTCTGTGTTACCCGTCAGACTCCCTGGATCGACGTCCTCGGGACCGTTCCTGCTTGTTCGTAATCGAACTGCTGGGAGCGCCTCACGCGCCATTTTGGCTGCGCTCGGCTTCCTCGGTGCCTGTCCTCAGACTCCCTGGATGCGCCGTTGCATGTCTCGTTCAGGGGCTGTTCTGCAGGCTCCCTGGATTGCACGCCTGGCTCTGACGCCCTGGGTCATTGCTGCCTGCCGCCTGACCGCGGCCTCGCGCGCGCCCGCCGTTAGTCGCGGCCGCAGCCCGACCGCGACCGCCCGCCGCTGGCGCTTCCGCCTGCGGCTGTATAAAAAAAGTATCCCCACCAGCCCGTCCAGAAACGACGCCCAGGCGAGTAGAGGGTCGTCCTGAGGGGCTTTTCGGCGTCTTGGGTGCCTCGGGGGGGCCTCTGGGGGCCGTTCGGGATCCTCTTTGGGGCCTCCTGGGGGCCTCTTGGGGCCTCTTGGGGCCATTTTGGGGCCTCTTGGGGGTCTCCTGGGGGCCTCTTGGGGGGCCTCTTGGGGCCATATTGGGGCCATCCTGCGGCCTCTTGGGGCATCCTGGGGGCCTCTTGCGGCCATCGTGGAGGAAATCGACCAAAGAAGAGGGGAGCCTTAATTAGCGTTGCCCCCTGGGAAGGCCAACATGGGGCCAAAACCATAGTAAAATCAATGTTTTTGGCTTCCTCGCCGAGGCCGTTTTGGACGCTCTGACCGTTCCCCGCCCCTCCTGTCCAGGTCAGTGGGGAGGGGGCAGGGGGAGGGATAAACCCCTCCCCGAAGGGGAAGAGGGAGGGGTGGAAGAGGAAACTCGTTAAACCACCGACGCCCAGAGGGCTGGTGGGATTTGTTTTCGGCACTTGGTTTTGTGACTTGCACCGAGCTGGTATGTGACCAGCCTGTCGCTTGCCTTCGATTTGTCCTTGCGGCTATATGCTGCAT